TCCAGGGAAGTTGAGATTGTTGCGCCCGAGGAGTTGGGCGACTTCGCGGCGAAACTGATCAGCTAGGTCATGGTCGGCTTTGATGCCTATCGCGTCTAGATCGGGGACAGCGTGGCCCATTGTGAAGGATCGAAGGTTCAGAGGGACGGGACTAATGGCACAAGAAACTCAAGAATAAGTTTGAAAGGCTCAGACTTCCCCCAAGAGATGAGAGGGGGTTGAGTTGCGGTCAATAAGACTCGGAGAGCTTGGTGGAGTGAAAGCGAATGCGAAGGGCGCTCGCCCGCAATCGCGACAATATAAACCAGATGCTCTTCAGCTGCAGGTAGATTTGAAGAGAATGAATAAGGAAGCTCGCCCAAGGGTTATACTAGTATGGCTCGCTTTGCTCATGCTGTTAGGTTTCAAAGACAATGCATGATCGGCGAACGGAATGGCCTGCGAGATGACCTGATGCCTCAGGCACATATCACGTAATCTGAATAGCTTCACTGCCTGGGCTATAGAGCTTGGTGATCCTGCATAGCGGACTCAGTAGAATGTCCTACACGACTACATATAGTATGTATGCCTACAGACATACCAGACAGAACTCAATAAAGTGGAAAGTATTCAATTGCAACTGCTCTCGAAACTTTCAAATGTACATATCACGCCAGCCGGGGTATCATATCGTGACCTTTCAAAGCAGACAGAACCAGTCTGTACCCATGGCCTATCCAGGGAAATAGAAGAACGAAAAAGATGCGAAGAAATCGAAGAAGAATGGTGCGATGGTCAGTAGTCCTCCTGCACCTGTGAACGCCAGCATCCAGTATCCAGTGCAAGCAGTTAAAGCTCAACCCCAACCACAAACGAAAAGAGAGTCGTTATAAATCATCGCCTGATATGCGGAAGTCGACCGAGATGCCAATCAAGAGGCCCCAGTGACTGGTGTTTTGCGGTTACCTGAAACAGAGGCTCTCTTGCCTGCATCCATTCCACCAGCGGAGACATCAGCCTCGCCATTGGCGTCAACAGACGAGGAGTCTAAATCGGCTGCGACAGTCGAGAAAAGAATGCCACCAAAAAGAGGTTGGCTGTCGTCGTTGGAGAAAAGTCCACCGCCGTTCCGAACTCCCATGGCATGCGACATCTGCTCCTTGATGCGGACATATCGGTATTTCGATTTTGTGGTGATTATGGGGTGACCGACAAGGGGCTGGGGCGCAGAACGGGCAATGGCGGCCATGACAGCATCTCTTTCTTCGTCCGAGTCAATAGGACCGGTGTTCTCGATATCTTCCTGGAGAGGAGCGTTGGCATCGATGGCAGCCTCTGTGGTTCGACCGGGTTAGTCACCTCGTGCTCCGTAGGGAGCATAAACAAGATCATAGTGAACTTACTCTGTTGGCGAGCCTGGTTCTTTTTCTGATACTGCTGGAGAAGCATATCATACGGCAGTGTCCGGCCAGGAACCGAGCGCTTAGCACCCATCGAATGGCTCTTGCAGGTCAAGGAACGAGCGCACTGCGCGCCGTTGGGGAGAGTAACACCACACTGTTTTTCGACATCGACAGGGCCCTTCGGCTTGGCCGTTTTTTGCTTGGGCTCGTCCTTCTTCTTCTTTTTCTTTGACTCCTTGCCGTCGTCCTCATCAGCCTTGCGCTTTTTGCCCTTCTTGTTGCCATCCTCAGTGCCCTTGGTAGCACTCTTCTTGGCGCTCTTCTGACCCATGTTGTGAGTTTCTCCGTCGGCCTTGTCGGGGCCATCATCGTCTCTATCGTCGCCGGCCTTCAGGCGATTGGCCGCGTCGCGGGCTTCCTTCTTCTTGCGCGCCTTCTCCTGCTTGGCCTTCAAGCAGCCGCGGACATGATCCGCTGCTGTTTGCTTCAGAGTGGGTCGCTTGCAATGCTTGCAGATTACGGTTTCGAGGAGGTCATCTTCACGCGGCTTGCCGGTCGGGAACACGGAGACGACTTTGCTGTCGAGGGTGGGGAGAGGAGATGCGGTAGGGGAGGTATCGATGGGGCCATCTTTGGCCTCTATGTGTTTGTTAGTATCGTCAATGCCTGTAGACATATGCCCAGGGAGCTGTACCATCTGCTTTCTTCTTGGTGGACGCCTTAGACGTCTTCTTCACCTTGATCTTGCCGGGTTTGGTATCCTTGTCCGTGAAGGTGTACCCGGACGCATCAACCAGACTTCCCCGTCCTGTCAACAAACATAGAATTAGCTCAGACCATTCATAGATTTTAGATGCGCCGAGCTTGATGTCAAAGTATTCCAAGTGTTTTGCGCTTTTGACAGGAACCAGGTATTGCGTACCTTGGCCGGGGTCACCATTGTTCGCCATGGTGAGGGCAAACTGAGAGAGTACCGAGAAACAGAACGCTTTCTTGTCACTCAGAAAGCCTTCGAAATGGCGTGAGGGTTGGTTATCAAGGAATGAGTTCAGTCTCCGGAGTCAAGGTCGGGCTGGGGCTCCGCATTAGGATCGGTCACGTGCCAACTATTGATCTATTGAATAGACATTTTGGCCTATTATGTTTTGGACGTAACATTTTCAGTTTATTGTTGAGAATGACCAATAGGTGAGAGTATTGATGCTCTTTCAACCTATCTCTTAATATAGTACATTGTTCGTCAATGAGATCAATCAGGCAGCGATTCTTTTAGGCAAATCAGTACCTGCCAAGCTTCTGGCTTTAAAAACACATAGTTGTAATTGAAACAAAAATATTGTACATCGTATGCTAGAAACAAGATCATGAATATTGTGCGAAGCAAAGGCTACTGTTTGTACCACCGAAGCCAAAGCTATTTGTCAAGGCAACACCAATCTGTCGTGACTGGGAATATTTTGGCGCATAGTTGCAATCAAACCCGTCAGCCAAGCGGTCTAGGTTGAGAGTAGGTGGCATAGTATTCTGTTCCGTGTTAGTACAAACTCTAGTATAGTTAGTATGTGCAATGCACGCAACTCACCTCATGGATTGCAAGTACACTGATCAAAGCTTCTATAGCACCAGCACCACCAAGCAGATGACCGAGGGCACCCTTTGTGCTGCTAACGTTCACATCAGCAGCTTTATCTTTGCCATCAGGGCCAAGTAAAAGTGATTTTATGGCAGCGTTCTCAGCAGCGTCACCAACAATGGTCGAAGTTGCATGTGCATTGACATAGTCAACTGCAGCAGGCCGTAACTGAGCCTGCTTAAGCGCCTTTTTCATAGCCATAAACGCGCCTTCACCATTTTCCTTAGGCGAGGTCATATGGTATGCGTCGCTGGAGCAGCCATATCCTTTGAGTTCTGCATAGATCCGCGCCCCTCTCGTGAGGGCATGTTCTAGCTCCTATATTTGAGATATCAGTACCAGGTGGTTGGATACGCACAAGAGGTAGGACACATACCTCTAGAACCATCACAGCTGCGCCTTCGCCAACCACAAAGCCTGCACGGTCGGCATCGAACGGGCGCGACGCCTTCCCTGGAGTATCATTGAATCCGGTTGATAGACTTCTTGCACGCGCAAAGCCGCCAATGGCCAAAGGATGGATACATGACTCGGCGCCACCAGCGACCATCACATCGGCATCACCACAGGCAATGAACCGAGCTGCATCGCCAATGGAATGGGCACCAGTCGTGCAAGCTGTTGTTGCGGAATGATTCGGGCCCATGAACCCGTACTTCATGGAAATATGGCCAGCGCCAAGGTTGATCAACAGCTTTGGCACGAACAGCGGATTGACCTTCTTGTAGCCCTGTGCAACAAGTTAGTTATAGGCTTCCCTAGTCCATGTACGATGGAAGGACCTTACCCCCTTGTCGTAGGCAATAACTGTGTTATAAATTTCATCAAAGTTCCCAATACCTGATCCTAGACAAACGCCCTACCAAAATGGTTAGTATGGCCGTCAAACCAGACATATTCTCACACATATTCCCACACATACCGTCACCTCCCTCTGCTCAAAAGGCTCGGGTTTCCACTCTGCATCTTGAAGCGCCTCTTCTGTCGCCGCCATGGCATATTGTGCAAACTTGGCCATCTTCCGCTCATCCTATCCACCCCGGATTATTAGCATTGCAGATAAAACACAAATCAAAGAGTGTTGTTAGTTGAAAAAAGACATACAACTCGATTCAACCATTCTGAGGCAGTCCACCCCCCATTTTTGCGACTACCCTCTGGTACAACAGCAGCAACCTGACAGGGCTGCTCAGCATAGCGCTCATCGCGATCTTTCACATTAACAACGCCACAATGGCCATCTAGCAAGCGTTTCCATGTATGCCGAATGCCTACAGCCAAGCACCGTGTTAGTCACAGTCGCATTCACAGATTCCAAACACCAAAGTACAATCAAACACGTAAAGTGAGACCCAGTATACAGCGGGTACTGTCTCTTATCGCCAAGTGTCCCGCATTGGCCTGTATGCCCGCCGTCATTGGCTGTCACAACCTTCCCCTTCCGGAGTGAGAAGTGGGGAATGCAGAGAGCTCGAGAGCCCAGAGTCCGGGGATATCGGATATCACGCATGGACTCCCGGACAATCAGACATGGGTAGAGCGCACTCGCAGGGATTTACTTGGCTGGCAGATGGAATTGTGGAATTGCATGCATTGTATCCGATAACATGCCCAGGTGAGTTCCAAGAACGACCTTGGAGCTATCAATGCCAACAGAACAACAAGAACATCCATGTTGAAAAATAAAGAAACGCAACTCACCTACACCTAGCGGTGTCACCGCCCCAAGACCGGTTACCACAACTCGCCGCATTGCATTGTAGCTTTTGTATCAAAGCTGAGGAGTTGTGTCAAAAGAGAGAAAACCGAAAAGCGGGCCAAAGCCAAGAAGGGAAAGTCTGCACGATCGGGTATCTGTTCGTCTTTCCCTTTACAACAACTGCTGCTTCAGGAAACTTGACGAGACAAGAGACATGTAGAAAAGGAATAAATATCTTCAATTCTAACTTTTCTTTTTTACTTCATTTCAAATAACTTCAGCCATGCCTGCTTGGAAAACCTTCCTTACACTGGCCTTGGCCGGTTCTGCGGCCTCCTGCGCGCACCACGATAACGGCGAGGTAGTCCCCGAACATGAGCGGGCAGAATTACTTAAGAAGTGGGATCAGGAGGTATGATACTACAATACCCAAGAAATAAGATTCGAACAATTCCTAACATATAACTATCCAGTGGTCCTTCTCCGGCATTGCCAGCTTCGCCCACCTGAAGCCGGTCAAGTGCCTTATCGAACCGGATGAGCACTACGACATTGCCATTATCGGCGCACCGTTCGATACAGCCGTCAGCTACCGACCAGGTTCGAAAAAGCAATCCCGTCCCAATGCCAGTCAAAACGCAACACTAACCAAATCCCGCACAGGAGCACGCTTCGGACCCCGTGCAATCCGCGCCGCCAGCGCACGCCAGATGGCCCCAACAAGCTACAACACGCGCGCCGGACTAAACCCGTACCAATCATGGGCTAAGATCACGGACTGCGGCGACATCCCCATCACGCCGTTCGACAACGGACTAGCCGAACGCCAGATGTACGAAGCCTTCCTTGAGCTTGGATCACGGCGAATCGTGAACAAAGCACCCAAAGCGAACGGGATCGGCGCAAAGCACCCGAAGCTCGTGACGCTTGGTGGAGACCACAGCGTTGCGCTGCCTGCTCTGCGCGCTCTGCACAAGATCTACCAGAAACCGATCACAGTTGTGCACTTCGATGCGCACCTCGATACCTGGAATCCGGTGCGATACAGCGCGTACTGGCAATCGGAGCAGACGCAGTTTAACCACGGGTCGTTCTTCCACAAGGCGAGTCGGGAGGGACTTATTTGTAATTCTACTTCTGCGCATGCTGGACTCCGGACTCGTCTTACTGGTGTTGATGCGGGAGATTATACGAACCCGGGTCCTGAGCAGGGATTTATTCGAATTCATGCTGATGATATTGATGAGCTTGGGCCTATGGGTGTTGTTGAGACTATTATTGCTCGTACGGGGATTGATCCCGAGCAGCCTGTTTATCTTTCTGTTGATATTGATGTTTTGGATCCGTCGACCGCTCCGGGAACTGGAACTCCTGAGCCTGGTGGTTGGACTACGCGTGAGTTTATTCGGATTCTGCGTGGACTTGAGAAGTTGAATATTGTGGGTGCGGATATTGTGGAGGTTTCGCCGGCTTATGATAATAAGGGGGAGACTACTGCTCTTGCGGCGGCGCAGGTTGCTTTTGAGATTATTACTAGTCTTGTTAAGTCTGGTGTTGATGAGGAGCTTGGTGGGTGGTATGGGTGGATGGAGAAGGAGGGAACTCAGGAGAAGGAGGCCAAGGATGAGCTTTGAGTTTTTGAATAGGTCTACGGTCTACGAGATGCATGTGGAATGAAGTGAAGAATGAATGACATATAATTCCTTGATGTCTTGGGTATCTGTAAACTGGAGTGATGTCATGACATAGTAGAGTATCAGAGACAACCTTGGAAATGCAATATCAAAATACTACAAGCTTAGTAATTACACTCTTAACGCCAAAATAACTAGAACTGATTGGATTGGAGTCCATTATCTGCGACTTTCTAATAACTAGAAATAACGTAGCTCTTCAGTGAGACATAACTCCAAAGACTGCAAGAGATCGCAGAAAGAACATGAACGGATATGCTTGCATCAAGCGCGCGCATAGAGTAATGGCGGTAGTAGATCAGATTGGAACAGGCGAAATCACATAGAGGCGGGGAAAAAAAGACGGAGAGAAGCCGGATCTGCAAGAGAAGGGTACAGCAAGCTCAATATCATAGTCCGGATTGTTCGCAAAGCTGGGGGGGGTACATAAATAGCACGTGAGAAAAAAAAAAAAAAGACAGGGCATGGGGGGATATGGGGGGATCACAGTGACGGAAACCGTCCAGCCAAAAGCCAAAACACGACGCCCTGACGTCCAACGCCAAGAGAGACGGTCAAAGAGGTGAAAGAGCTGGATGCGGAGAAGGTAATAGGTAGGATGCGGGGAGTGTAGACGACGCGACAAAAAAGGGAGAAGAAGGTCAAAACTGCTGTCGCTATATTTCGTGAAGGAGAGGAATGAGGGTGGAGGATCGGGGAAATTGAAAGGTGAGAAGGAGACGAGTACCAATAGTAACTCGAGACCAGGTCGTTGAAGACGGCAGATAGACGCAGCCAGGCGAAGCAAGAAGAAAGGAAGAAGCAGAACCAAAAAGACGAGGGACACAGCAAATTATAGAGGCTAGAGTTCGAACTGGGATAAGAGAACAGAGACAAAATAAGAGAAAAAAGGGGGACAAGAAAAAGCACAGAAGCCATTTTCAACTGGAAAACGTAAATATGGAACGCTTCAGATAGCATCGCTAGCCATAATACAAGACCACACTCCCCCCTTTTTTTTGTCGCTGAATTTGGATATCCCAGAAAACAAAGTCCAGCCAGAAATATTTGCCGCCCAATAGAACGTGAAAGAGTAGTAGAAAGAGAAATAAACAGGTTCATTCCATCGTAGCTTCGAGGCGCACGTCAACTAGGCATCAACCCAAGTGCAACATATCCGTCGCACTCGGACCGACCTGTTGCGATAAGTCTGTGATAAGTTCACAGCAAGCGGCAGCCCCTTGACTTCTTCTTGGGCGCGGGTTCGAGTGCCGCAACAATAGCCTAGAAAGTAGAAAGAATAACGTGTCAATAGCGGTGTGGAAATATCGGGCAGCAAAAAAAAAAAAGGTGGAAGATTCGGTGTACCTCATCAAAGACGTCCTTGAGCTTATACTGTGTCAGGGCAGAACACTCGACGTATTTAACAGCGCCAAGTTCCTTAGCCATCCGGTCACCGTCCTCCTTGCGGATGGGGGACATCTTCTGACGGGCGAGCTTATCCCGGACTCCGGCATCGTCGCGCAAATCGGTCTGGGTACCGACGATCAGGCAGGGAACACCAGGGCAGTGGTGGTGGACTTCGGGGAACCACTTTTCGCGGACGTTCTCGAATGAGGCAGGTGAGGTGACGGAGAAGCAGACCAAGAACACGTCAGTCTGTGGGTAAGAAAGCGGACGTAGACGGTCGTAATCCTCTTGACCGGCGGTATCGAACAGGCCCAGGGTGTAAGGCTCATCGCCGATCCTGAATTTGGAGATCGATCGGTCAGAAAGTGTTTCTTTGAGGCTGGACTGACGTATAATTTTTTTTCTCGGGGGAGGGGGGTTTCTCGGAGTGATGACTTACATCACGGTCACGGCGTAGTTGTCAAAGACAGTGGGGACATATTCCGAAGGGAACTTGTTCGTTGTGTATGAGATGAGCAGACAGGTCTTTCCTACTGCACCGTCCCCCACCACGACACATCTGGGTTGGAGTTAGCCATGAGATCTGGAGGGGGGTTTTTCGCCTCGGCAAGGAGGGATGAAGCGAAATAGGGATAGCGTACTTGATGGTAGCGACGACCATTTTGAATTAATGAAGAGTATTGATGTAAGAGTGATAGAGAAGAAGAGTGTGGGAGACAAAAAGGGAGGAAGAAGCTGTGGTCTGGATTGAATGGGGCAACCCGCAGAGTATGGAGTCTAGACACGGTGCTAGTCTCGATACACGGTCTGTACAGTTCTTCGCTTGATTAACACGATGTTATTTATTATGAGAATATCTTAGCATATAAAAGAAATAGATATTTTTATAACCATTTTTATTTTATTTTATTTTATTTTAATTATATTATATTATTCTGAATAATCCCCTTGGATTAATATATGATATCTCTTGTGTCATTCATTTACTTGCCAAGAGAATGGGTAATCATTATCTCTCTCCTCATCTCCTCATCTCCCTCGACTCCTATAAAAAAATACTATGAATACTATGGATACTAGAATAATATAAATACTACTATAAATACTATAAATACTATAAATACTCCATAAATACTCCATAAATACCTATAAATAATCCACGGCCAACCGCTGTCGGCTAAGCGCTGTGATCTCTAGAATCGAATCTGATCTCTCTATAGGATCAAACTCTTAACACACTCTTTAACCAAAACCAAACATATTTATCTACATAACTATAACTAGTTAGTTACGTTGTAGTTAGGTATAAATGTACATGTTAAGTACGGAGTATCAATAATACCAAGTATAAGGCTAATAAGATAAGCGTCTAAAATGTCATCAAGAAACAAAAGGAGATCTTACCGGAGTATTTACCCCCTTTTCTTTCGAGTCAACTCATTTCTTTCACCCTTTTCCCTTTTCCTTTTTCCCTTTTCCCGTGACACATCCCCTATTTCAATTCCCGTTTCATCATTTACGGGTTCCCGGTCTCCCGTCTCCCCTCGACCCTAAATCTCCCCTTTTGCAAACCGCCGTTTTAACGTCTGAGACCTAGGACCTAGATGGATACAATAAAAATACACATACACTCCATATACTCCAAATCCAATCTAGAACACTCTAATCCTGACCTACTCTATTATCGTAAGTGGCTTGTTCCCGTCACAGCTTGGCAGCCAGATCCAGATCCAATCTCTCCACAACTTTTCGCCTTCACTGCGTTGGCTGAGGTCATTGCCCAGCTACGTGACTCACATTACTAACCAAGTACACACACCTGGGCATTGTTGATGGTTGATAACCGACAACTGACGGGCTGACTTGATATCCGGATATTGCAGTCTGCGCGTCCTCCATACGGAGTACCTCCCGACAGTATACATTTACAGTAAGCACATGCACATGCCAGGGGGGGCCGGGCTAAGCAGGGTCAATTCATATCTCATGTACTCCATACGGAGTATCCTCAAGCCCTTCCGTTGCGGTATCTGGTATGCATGCATGCATATATGCAGGTACATGCACGGGTAATATACGTGGTATACGAGCTGAATAAGGATTGGGGTTGGGCTGGGGGGAGAAGACGGGGGGTAGGAAAAAGAAAGGAAAAAAAAAGAGAAAGAAAAAAGACAAACTTCAATCTTTACAAATCTGGTTAGGTTTTTAAGATTTCAAATAGAGTCAAATCCAAATCCAAATCCTTCCCACATTAACGGATAGCAGTGGATATAAGACCGCGATGCGTGAAGTTTGATCTAGACTAGACAGGGATATGAGCTAGTATAAGCAATGCAAAGTACCTTGTCTAGTGTGCAAAACAGGGGCAATCAACTCTATTCCTGACCGTTACAGGGAGATGAAACCCACTAGCCTGTAACTGCAGGAGAGTAACATGTTACATCTCGAGGGTCTTAGAGCGCCAATCCGGCCGGATCGGAATAATCGCTTCGTTTTGGTGGAAGGCTGCTGGCGGTGGATCGAAACTGCCCGAGTTCTTTGGAGAGATGTGGGTTATGGCCCGGAGTCGGCATGGGTTTCTTATCTTTGTCGACGATACAAAGTACTGCGATAGACTTTCTCTCCTGCTTGGGTATTCAAATTGTCGGGATTGATACCGTCTAGGTCTATTGAACTGTCACAGTCTTGGAAAGTTAGATACATCCAACCCCATAAATACATAAATAGTAACGCCGAGTGCAGATGATGGATTGGCTCGTCAACCAGTCCGGATGAACAGAATATATCGAGCATGTGTTGTTGTACCTTGCCCAAACAATCGAAACGCCGCTTGCTGGTTCGTGTCGAGATGCAATAGAAGAAAAATCATGTCATAAAAAAGCCGCACAAAAAGGTTCAGTTCATAAGGTCGTAATTGTCGTGTGCGGTGAATGCACACAGGGGTTTATGTTCGTTTGGAGTGTCCGTCATCCGAGTTGGGCTCTGCCTCTCCCTCAACTTGAGCCGGGTCGCTCTGTTGTTTGGGACTACCGTAGCCCATCTAGAATCTAGTCAGAAGAGATCAACAGGAAGCACTGATTGGCGACTTACCTTGTCAAGTTTGTAGTTGACCATGAGAAGACTCAACGGGATGAGAGGGAGGGTGGCAATGACAGCCAGCGTCAGCAGCCGGTCCATGGTCTCTTGGTACGCACGGTTGATAGCAATGCGAGTTGCAGATCCCATTGGATACGACAGGGCGGTGGTCAGCTTGCCGAAGATTTCAGCAGCTTGGCCCTTACTTTCCTCGGGAAGGTATTGAAGAAGCTTGTGTGGGACGGCAGAGGACCAAACAGCCCCTGAAATAGCGGCACCGACTGCGCCGCCCATTTCCATGGAGGTCAGGAACATCGCAGTGGCTGCTGCGACTTCCTGGTGACTGGCAGATGCTTGAACACCCAATTGGACGGGCACATTAATCAGGCCGCCACCGATGCCGACTATGATCTGTGTGCCCAGGACTTGGAAATGCGAGGCTCCTTCTCCTCGGTACAGGAGCATCATGGCTAGGC